ATTATCTCTGAACATGCCTCTTCCTTTCCTTACAATTTGAATATCACTATAATCTGGCATTGCTCGATCAAAAAGATAAGTTATTTAGGTTTAAAGTGTGAAGCCACAAAATAGATTCTTACATTCCCCTTCTCACAGCCTGTGTAAGATTATATGAAAGGAGGAAAGGTAAGCAGATGCTAGGAACTAAGGTTTCAAATTACAAAGAGGGTAAATAGATCCTTGATTATTTAGAGAGGAAGTGGATATAAATGATAGGTTCTTTGAATTTCAAGTGTGATGCCCCAAAATGAATATATTTTTACACTTTAACCTCACCGACAATGTGGGTATAGATATGTGAAGCTGAAAGGAGGAAATGTAGCCTGATACTAGCACTAAGGTTTCAAATTAAAAAGAAGGTAAGTAGATCAGTGGAAGTGGATAATCATCTTGTTTGTCAGGATTTGTTATATGGAGGTATCCATTGACTTTTTCAAACAAAGCCAATATCAGAAATGACTGTCACAGGACGTGACGTGACATGAGTAAGCATCTTAAAACATGATGCCTGTGAGTGAAACATTTACTTACTTAAAATCCCATTTTGTGAAAAATTAAATAAATCAATCGAATCGATATTTTGATAAGCAAATAAGTGTACAGACCAAGGGAATGGAATGTTTATAAATAAGCCAAATCAGTTTACATTATAACGCTTACGTGTACGCCATGAGGGTCATAGTACAAAGCTCGATCGCATAAATTTAGGCTTGCCGTGAGCTTTATAATAAAGGGATCGGAGTTTAATTCCTTTGGCATTACAAGAGAGTGAATGGGAATGACTTGTATTAATACTATATGGATATAAAAAATCAATAAACCCAAAAAGATAAAATGATCTTGTACTGAAACCTTCTCAAGAAGAGAAAGGCTGCCACCCGCGCCCTCACCGCGATCAACTTTTTAAACTATATATACACTTTGGGTAACCTGCTCGTAAGAGAAGTTCACTCCTGTTTAAGGTTTTCCCCAGATAGATATTTCACTTATGATTATCTTAATGTACATTAAGCTTACATTTTTGCTTCGACTGTTCTGATTCTTACATGCAAGCTTAAGTTGAGTCTTATTAACGTACCATATCGTTCTTCGTTTAGGCTGGATACGTCAAAATAACGGCATTCTCCGAACTTCAGGGGAAGAGACTTTATGCGAGAGGTGTACTGGCTCTTTTCTGTAAGAGAAATAAAACTTAAAAACTGGAAAACACCAAACAACGTGAGGAGCAACACGTCCACGTACCTGTCGCCATATTGGAAAATGGATTGCCTTACATTGAATGAACATGTGACATTTCACGTAATCGCGCGCAAAGCATCAATGGTCACGGTCTGGTTCTTCATTTCATTCATCAGCTTTTTTAGTAATTTTACGATAATTGAGGATTTTTTCCTTTGGCTAGAGATTTTGTTAATCCTGTTTATTGCCCTAAAATAAGACGTCTACTTGCTTAGCCTGTTGAAATGCATAGCTCCTGTTACAGCTGATGTTTTTTTTGTCACGCAAGATCAAGCGGCACAAGCTGAAAAAGATTCAAGGAATTGGAGGTAGTTGGGGTAGAGGTCAGTTCTTACTTGAATCATTAGCTGACTTAGTCTTCACTCAGTATTTCTTGAGTTTTTACCAACACTATACCCAACCAATATATCAGCAGCATACATTGTATCAGCTGAACAGACTGAAAAGAGTGGAAAAATTACATCGCTTCAAATCACAGTCCTTATAAACTGCAGAATACCCTCCAACTTTAAAGCAACCCCTAAAGATAGCTACGTATCCGCGTATTCACTTTTTCACTACGTATTCTCGTATCCACTTCAATATAAACTTAATCCTTAATGCCCCAACATCCATATACAAATTCTTCAAACTCATCTCCATACATTTTTTTAAAGGATGTGTTGAGAGAATTTGATAAAAGAACAAGGTATTTTCTCTTCCCTGATCGTTTTATTAATTCTCCGAAACTAGTTTCTTGACATTGTATGGATACCGTTAGGAGGAATTTGTTGTTGATCACCATTGGGACTTAAAGGTTTAAGACAGCACATAAATCTTATAGCATATGTCTATTTGTTGTTCTTAAAGCCACTGTAATCCATGTATCCAGCTCTTTCAGGGATACTGCTTCGAAGTGACTGGGTATTCTGCAGTTACTCCGTCCATTTCTGAAGCTTTCCCAATGGTATATGCCGCAAACCATTAATTTGATTACCGGTCTTACCATGTAAATGTTAGGCACCCCTGAACCAGTATCCATAATCAGGCTATCACTAACGGCTAGGCCAGGACCAGGATATTTCCCCTGCATTTCTATTATGAGTATCTCCTCATGAAACAAAGGAAAATTGAGAACCAAAAGAACTTCCTACCTGTTTAATGGAGAGGGGAAGTGTGCTGTCACAGAAAGAGAAATTTGTCTTCCTATGCACATGTGGTTGATGAAATGTGAGATTAGGCAATTCACTTCGTAATTGTGCAGTGACATCAGAGAAATGTACAGAAAAGTGCGCTGCACATGCAAAGTTGTTGTTTTGCTAGTCTTAACCTATTGCATTTTAGTTCTCACTGCCATCACCATAGCGACATCTTTAACTCCCTATTAGAGTATTCAAACAACTCAACATCTTTAGAATTGTACTGGCTCTCTCCCTTATTAATCAATTTCGGTAGATCAGCAAGAAGGAAGCAAGTGCACTTATCAACATGAGTGCGATAGTTGCAGGACCATGAGCTGATGAGATCCAGAAATTTCGCTTCCATGGCAATGGGATGTAACGACTTCTCCTCTCTATCCTCTACCTACAATCCCAGTACTCACTTGAAGTCTTTGTGACAACTCTACATGATAGAAATACCATTGTGCAAGTGATATTCTCATGTATAATAAAAAATTAATGTGACCTGCACTTGACACTTAGCAGAGCTGGGGAGATGAAAAAAGCATATCTCTGTATAATTTTTTATTTTATGTTGCCTGTAAACAATGCATTCAGTATGTTCTAAGCATCAAAATGGAATTTTATTTCAGCATAATTTCAAATGTATTATTCTAATGCATAAGCAACACATTATCTCTTGTCTTCTATTCCTAACAACACCAGAAATACCTTTTCTCAAAAGACTATCATTAACTTAGGTTTTCTGGAATTATACTTACTTCTTAAAACTATTAAGAGTTACATCTAGCTTTAAATTACGTAACACTAGAAACTGACATGTGAACATTAATTTTGTTTGATACTGTTAAACGGTTAAGATTACCATAGAAATGACGGTTTTTCTTTAAATAACAGTGCATATTCTGACTGTATTTTTGTTTGTATTTGTGGAAAAGGTTCAATGAAAATTATGAAAATTTCTGCAATTATGGCATTGGTTACCATAGTCCCAAAAAAAAACAAGATGAAAAATAGTCCCTAGCGTGCAAACAGAGGACATATTTCATGCTGTCCTTTCTCACTCCACCTAGTCAACCAAAAATACGTCTGCATTCGTAGCCTAAATATCCCTATTGCCAAAACCCAGCCTGTTAGTGTAAATAAGTGGTGAAATATAAGCATCATTGTGCTCTCATATGGCTCAATATGACTCATACAATCCTGATAACATTGCCTTGGATTGTGTCATTTACAATCTACAATCCCGGACAAAACTACTTGAGAAAGTTTTCCCCATCATGCACACTTTCCTACGCAACAAAACTATTTCCAAAACGACACCTTTGCGAAAAGAAAACCCCTTCCCCTAATTCAATGTTGCTTCCTACAAACACCCAGGGATCAGGCTTTCTTTTAAATACACAACAACATTGCTTTCAGGGGAAGGGGGAGAGGGAAGAACCGGTACAGCTACGATGTTTAGAAAAATGCTGTCCAAGTATACAATTTTCTCAACAGTTTTGTCCAAGATTGTAGGTCAAAACTCTTCTATGTATGTTAATCAACTCTTATTGCAACTTTTTCTTTCTATTATATAGAAAAGGATGTTAAATCGGATCAATTAAGGTTTCTGGGAAACTTCCCACCTACCCCTCCCCAAAGTCAAAGTTAACACTTACTTCTCACTTGTGGCAAAATGTTGGGTTAGGGGAGGGGTATGTGGGCAGTTTACCGGAAACCTTAATTGATCCATTAAATCCCTAAAACTTTATCAGGTACTAAACGTTTTTCTTGTAGAACCTTCTCTCAAATCCATAGCTAACAGCAGTCTACTTTTCCATCTTTGTCTATCACAGAAAAAGAAGACTCTGCTAGCAGGGAAGCCCTCTTCCAGACTTGCCAAGTCTCACGACTTTGTCATGAGTCTTGCAATTTTATGAGCTATCTCATGCTCTCACAAGTTGGCAACTAATTTCTCACATTTTCTTGAAAAGTGAGGCTCTAAAAACATTGGAGTTGTAGGGTTCATTTCCAAGTTAGATATAGATAGATAGCCAGCTCAATCCAAAGAAAACCTTTAGCAGTTGCGTTTGATTACGTTTTCTCAGCCTACCATGACTTGCCGCTGTCACCAAATGTGCAGACTTACTGTTTCTCTTTTTCAAGATGACTGCCAACAATTGCAAACTAGAAGTTACAAAACCTAAATCGTAAAAGTCAAAATGATGTTTACTGCTGTAGCTTTAAAGTGTTATATGACTTCCAATACCCACAATCCTCACTGGAAGTCCTTCCTTTAGGAAATTTAGAACATCTCACGACTTTTCACCCATTTCTCACTACTTTTCCCAGCTCTAGGTTCAGGATCTCACATTTTTTGCCTTTTGGGGGTTGGCAAGTCTGCCTCTTCTGCAGCTATGCATAAAAAGTCTAAGTCCACACTCATGATTTTTCTACTCAAACAACATTTTCATCATTGTCATCGTCAGGCTCTGCAGCATTTTTCTCAATGATCCTGTACTCTCCATCACCGTGCTTGCCCATTCCTTATGCATAAAAAGTCTAAGTCCACACTCATGATTTTTCTACTCAAACAACATTTTCATCATTGTCATCGTCAGGCTCTGCAGCATTTTTCTCAATGATCCTGTACTCTCCATCACCGTGCTTGCCCATTCCGATCAGAGCATGATCTGTTTCCGCTGCATTTCTCTTTTCTTTGCTTTTTTTCTTCCAGCAGATGACAGCAATGACGATTCCAACTACTAGCAGAACTGCAAAAACAATGCCGAGATAGGCCCCCCATGGCCACTTGTCATGCTTTGATGTTATTGCAGCAATATCTGGTGTACTAGCAGCACTTGTGGAAGTTTCAGTTGGAAGAAGTGCGTTCAGTAAACAGCCATAGACTTCCACACGCATAAAAATGTCCTTATTCCAGCTCTGAGGTAGAAATCTGATGAACCGAGAAGTGACTGTATATGCTAGAGTATTTCGTACCACAGTATCGGAGTCGTAGTTTCCATTGAAAACCTAGAAAATGTCAAACAGCAACTTCAGTTTGGCTTGTGCAGGGCTATCGTTAAGGGCCCGGGGCCGGGGATTTCCTCCAGCTCCTATGAAGGTGACCCAAGTGGCTACTTTCATAAAAAATTATTATTATTTTTATTATTTTTAATTTTTTTTTCAGTTTTTAGTATTGACAGGGGAAGAACCCTAGTCAGGGAGCTGTTATGATAAAGTACGTGTGGGCATTGTATGTAGGTTAGGTTAACTGTCACACAGAAACGCAATCCCTCCTCCCTTATTGCAAATATTTATATACCTTATAGTTCAATTTGTTTATACTTCGCATAGTAACGGATTTAAATGCATATAACCACCAATTTTGACATGTACAGATCATTCGTTTAGTTGCCTGATGAGTGTGTTCATCTTTTGACCATGTACGAAACGGATCTGTTGCATTAAACGAATGGTATCTTCTGAAGTCTGATCTATATTCAATGAATATATATGTAGGTGTGAATGTAAAATGAAAGGGTACTTAAATGTTGCTTACCTTTGTTCTGTTATTTTCAGTATACTCTTTCCAATTTTTTCCATTATCACTTAGGCTAAGTTTGTATTTTTTAACATAAACATTTAACATTCCTTTAACATTTGATTTCCCTTGGGTAGCAACAGCTGTAATATTGATCACTCTCTTGAAATCAATCTGTAGATATTCAGTACTTCTATTGTACTCAGGGTTCCAGCCACGCCCACCTTTCAAATTCAGCCGTCCTTCGAAGGGTTCATAATGCTTTGAGGATGTTGACGCTGTGATCTGCTCATTTTTTATTTTACCACTTTCCATTCCAAGAGGTTGGGAACAGTCCTGTTGGAGAATAATTAGTGAGTCTGAGTTAACTGACAAGTTTCCGACTTTACCACTTTGAGCAGCAACCTGGAGGGCTTTTCCAGGTACATAGTCCACTTTGTCATTAAAGTACAGTTCAAATTCAGCAACAACGCTACCCTTTGTTAGAGCAGTTACTTCAACACCTTCAAATGACGGATCTTTGTGTAACTCAAATTTGATTGCATCTTCAATCTGGGTCTTTGTCTCATAATACTTAGCACTTTCAGTGTCCGTGAGTTCTTCACTCCAAAAGAGCGATGTGAATTTGACAGACATCTTGACGACTTCAGCACTTCCCTGTCCATCACTTGTGATACATTCCCTGGAATCCTCAGCTCCTTCACGTGTGGTACTTTTACCATCAGGACACTGTTTACAATGGTCTTGCCCCAGCTGATCTTGGTACTGTCCTTGGGGACACTTTTTACACTGAGAAGCACCTTTATCCAAGAACCATCCCTCCTCACAACTGGCAAAACAGCTGGAAACATCAGACTGGCCTGTTGCATTTGTGATTTTATTTGGTCCACATGGCTTGCACTCTGTGGCATTGTGCTCTTTCACATCCTGGTATGTGTTCTTTGGACAGTCAAAACAGTTTGAGTCATTAAGATACTGTCCTTTCCCACAAAAGACAACAGTGCAGGAGGACACATTCTTCTGTCCTTCACGTGTGGTACTTTTACCATCAGGACACTGTTTACAATGGTCTTGCCCCAGCTGATCTTGGTACTGTCCTTGGGGACACTTTTTACACTGAGAAACACTTTTATCCAAGAACCATCCCTCCTCACAACTGGCAAAACAGCTGGAAACATCAGACTGGCCTGTTGCATTTGTGATTTTATTTGGTCCACATGGCTTGCACTCTGTGGCATTGTGCTCTTTCACATCCTGGTATGTGTTCTTTGGACAGTCAAAACAGTTTGAGTCATTAAGATACTGTCCTTTCCCACAAAAGACAACAGTGCAGGAGGACACATTCTTCTGTCCTTCACGTGTGGTACTTTTACCATCAGGACACTGTTTACAATGGTCTTGCCCCAGCTGATCTTGGTACTGTCCTTGGGGACACTTTTTACACTGAGAAACACTTTTATCCAAGAACCATCCCTCCTCACAACTGGCAAAACAGCTGGAAACATCAGACTGGCCTGTTGCATTTGTGATTTTATTTGGTCCACATGGCTTGCACTCTGTGGCATTGTGCTCTTTCACATCCTGGTATGTGTTCTTTGGACAGTCAAAACAGTTTGAGTCATTAAGATACTGTCCTTTCCCACAAAAGACAACAGTGCAGGAGGACACATTCTTCTGTCCTTCACTTGCAGTACTTTTACCATCAGGACACTGTTTGCAGTGGTCTTGTCCTGACTGATCTTGGTACTGTCCTACAGGACACTTTTTACACTGAGAAACACTTTTATCCAAGAACCATCCCTCCTCACATATGACAAAACAGCTAGAAACATCAGACTGTCCTGTTGCATTTGTGATTTTATTTGGTCCACATGGCTCGCACTCTGTGGCATTGTGCTCTTTCACATCCTGGTATGTGTCCTTTGGACAATCAAAACAGTTTGAGTCATTAAGAAACTTCCCCAGGCCACAGACCTTGACACAGTCTGATATAGTCTTTGAACTCATTTCAAGAGTTGTTGTCCCACTAGTGCAATCTTTGCAGCTGTCTTTGTTCACCTCGTCCTGGTATTTTCCCATTGGACAAGAAGTGCACATCATTGCAGTTGAGTTATAAAACTCACCAGGTAAACAGTGGTAACAATCACTGACTGCTTTGCTGCCGACACTCCTGGTGGTTTTCCCCATTTCACACGTCTTGCATCGAGTAGATGCATGTTTGTCGGTGTCCATGTAGGTGCCAATAGGGCAATCCATGCAACTGCCACTTGAAGCGTTCATAAAGGTACCAGGTAGACAGGGGTCAAGACAGTCTGACACCTCTTGTGCCCCAGGAAAAATGGTCTGTTTATCACCGGGGCAGGGTATACATTCTGGATTGATCTTCGTTGAAGAGTTTTGGTAATTGTTTCGAGGACACCATTCACACATCCCATATTTTTTATCTAGCCGTTTGCCCTTCATACATTTATTATCGCATGATTTTCTCAGGGGCGTTGCTGGCGATGTGCCGTTTTTCTGTGTACACGACCGTGCACCTTTTACTGCAGTACTACCGGAGGGACATTTCTGACAGGTGCGGGTTGTAACATTGTACAAATGGTGCCTTGGGCAGGCGGAGCACACAGAATAAGTTGCGTTCCCGGGAACCTTAATATAATCATTTTCACCGTTACACCAAGGAGTGGCGGTGTTGACAATTGACTCCTTAGAAATAGTAAATGATTCATTTCCTTTCTTCATGACCAGAGCTTCAATGTCTAAAACATCCTTGAGCTTCAGGTTGTTGTAGGCCGTATGAAGCTCTTGGAGTTTTGAATTAGCTTCTTCCAAAGTTGGCGGTTTCACTATGTAATCCAATATAGTTATCGTTATTTCCGCCTGACTTCCGCTGATGGTGCAGTTGACTTGAACTGCCTGCTTGCAGTCTGGGTTGTTGGCAGCACTTTGGTTGAAGCACACACCTTTGCTTCGAACATCACTGTTGTTTCCTAACACCGCTCGAATAACGCTTTCCACTTTCTTGAGATCAACTTGTTGACACGTTAGATTAGCATAATTAAAATTCACTGTGGCTTTGATTTGAAATGGTTTTTGCACCTTTTGGCACTCAAGTGGTCCGCTATGTATATTTATATCCCACGTTCCATTCTTGAAATCACACGTTAGGACTTCCTTCTTTATTGTTAGCTCCATAAACGAGGGATTACATTTCAATTCACATTTCCTCTCTTGTGTAGTTTCATAACACTCCAGCGTTCCGTTTCTCACCCCTCGACAACGGCACGTGTCTTGGAAGGGAACTGAAGAAATTTTCCCGCGAAAAATGCTTGGTCCATTTGTGCCTTGACTAACGTCTTTAAATCGAATAAACATGGCATTCCCCGAAGTAACATAGAACGAGGGCGACTGGCTTGCATCCTTTGGCCCAAGTTTTTCTCCGTCAGTAATCCCAGGGCCTTCTCGAATCTCGAACACCGCTCCGCTTACAACGTTTAGTTCTTCTACGGTCAGCTTCACCCGCTTCGATTTAAGAATAATCACCCGAGCACATTCTCCGCCAGTTTTTTGCGCGCGCTCCGTTGTAAAATTCAGCGAAAGAGAAACGTTTTCTGTGGTGATTTCGCTCACACCGCACAAATCGAAAGTGGTCAACGGGGCTGATGCAGATGTAAACATCGATGGCCATAAATCCAAGCAAAACAAACCAATGATAATTATCTTCATTGCCACGCTGTTCATGACTTCGCTGAAAGGCAAGAAAACCCAGAAATGAAAACGAAAGGTAGAATAGGACTTTCAGGTCGGAAATATTCAACGTGGCCGACCCAAAAAAAAACTAACAAAACGGTAATTAACAAAAGTAAAATTCTACGAAATTATGCATAAAAAGTCTAAGTCCACACTCATGATTTTTCTACTCAAACAACATTTTCATCATTGTCATCGTCAGGCTCTGCAGCATTTTTCTCAATGATCCTGTACTCTCCATCACCGTGCTTGCCCATTCCCATCAGAGCATGATCTGTTTCCGCTGCATTCCTCTTTTCTTTGCTTTTTTTCTTCCAGCAGATGACAGCGATGACGATTCCAACTACTAGCAGAACTGCAAAAACAATGCCGAGATATGCACCCCATGGCCACTTGTCATGCTTTGATGTTTTTGCAGCAATATCTGGTCTACTAGCAGCACTTGTGGAAGTTTCAGTTGGAAGAAGTGCGTTCAGTAAACAGCCATAGACTTCCACACGCATAAAAATGTCCTTACTCCAGCTCTGAGGTAGAAATCTGATGAACCGAGAAGTGACTGTATGTGCTAGAGTATTTCGTACCACAGTATCCGAGTCGTAGTTTCCATTGAAAACCTAGAAAATGTCAAACAGCAACTTCAGTTTGGCTTGTGCAGGGCTATCATTAATGGCCGGGGACTGGGGATTTCCTCCAGCTCCTATGAAGGTGACCCCAGTGGCTACTTTCATAAAAAATTATTATTATTTTTATTATTTTTAATTATTTATGTTTTTTAGTTTTTAGTATTGACAGCAGAAGAACCCTAGTCAGGGGCTGTTATGATAAAGTACATATGTGCGTTGTATGTAGGTTAGGTTAACTGTCACACAGTAACGCAATCCCTCAACCCTTATCGCAAATATTTATATACCTTATAGTTCAATTTGTAGACTACGAGTAGTCCCCCTTTTCTCGCGTGGGTTGATTTTCACGCGCACTTGTGTTTTGCGCGCTATACTATCCCTGAGGAAAAATGGGGGACTACCGTAGTCTATTCAATTTGTTTATATTTTGCATAGCAACGGAGTTAAATGCTTATAACCACCAATTTTGACATGACGGATCATTCGTTAAGTTGCCTGATGAGCGTGGTCATCTTTTGACCATGTGCAAAACAGATCTGTAGAATTAAACGAATGGTACCTTCCGAAGTCTGGTCTACATTCAATTAATATGTATGTAGGTGTGTATGTAAAGTGAAAGGGTACTTAAATGTTGCTTACCTTTGTTGTGTCATTTTCAGTATACTCTTTCCAATTTTTTCCATTATCACTTAGGCTAAGTTTGTATTCTTTAACATAAACATTTAACTTTCCTTTAACATTTGATTTCCCTTGGGTAGCAACAGCTGTAATATTGATCGCTCTCTTGAAATCAATCTGTAGATATTCAGTCATTCTATTGTATTCAGGGTACCAGCCACGCCCACCTTTCAAATTCAGCCGTCCTTCATAGGGTTCATAATGCTTTGAGAATGTTGACGCCGTGATCTGCTCATTCTTTATTTTACCACTTTCCATTCCAAGAGGTTGGGAACAGTCCTGTTGGAGAATACGTAGTGAATCTGAGGTAACTGACAAGTTTCCGACTTTACCACTTCGAGCAGCAACCTGGAGGGCTTTTCCAGGTACATAGTCCACTTTGTCATTAAAGTACAGTTCAAATTCGGCAACAACGCTACCCTTTGTTAGAGCAGTTACTGCAACATCTTCAAATGATGGATCTTTGTGTAACTCAAATTTGATTGCATCTTCAATCTTGGTCTTTGTCTCGTAATACTTAGCACTTTCAGTGTCCGCGAGTTCTTCACTCCAAGAGAGCGATGTGAATTTGACAGACATCTTGATGATTTCAGCACTTCCCTTTCCATCACTTGTGATACATTCGCTGGAATCCTCAGCTCCTTCATTCACAAAAGTCTTATTGCCCTGGCACATTTGGCAGTTCTCAAGCTGATGATTCTTGGCATCCTGGTAGGTACCGTAGGGACATAGCTGACAAGATGCACTACTGGTCTTGTAGAACTGTCCTTTCCCACAAAAGACAACAGTGCAGGAGGACACATTCTTCTGTCCTTCACGTGTGGTACTTTTACCATCAGGACACTGTTTACAATGGTCTTGCCCCAGCTGATCTTGGTACTGTCCTTGGGGA